GTCAGTCCGCTCGCTGCTCCTCTCTGCTTCAAATATGACGAACATTAAAAATAAAGTTCTGTAATTTATTTATTTATCATGAAATCTGTAATCTTTACACAATTTGGAACAATTTTTACAAAGAGCAAACCTTTCCCACTAAATTGGTCATGTGACTACGAAATAAGGGTGTCCAGGGACTCCAGGGGATTAATCGTCAAATTAATCGTTATCGGCTAAATACCACAATTAATCGTGATTAATTTTTTTTGCCAATATTGCCCAACCCTAATAGACACAAAGACAAACAAGCATACCAAATTTCAAAAAGGCAGCACTTGCAAAATAGGACGTCTAAATATGAGCACAACAAAAAGTRTCCAGCAGATGGCAGACAAGATTCTTCTTAAAGGGCTGTACTTTTGAAATGGACTTTATGTTTTGAGGAATGTCACTCCCTGCTTTAGTATAAACATAGAAGACAGACCTCTGGCCGTAACAGTTTTTATAAGTTGGTAATATCAGTTGTCCTTTTGTAACAGATCTAGTTGAATGACCACTTCCAGAATTWGATTTGGGCAGTGGCAGCCAGAGGAGTTCTGTGTAATTAATGTATATTTACCTAGAAACTTAGTCCAGAGTCTGTGCTGGATTTTATTTAATTGGTTATCTAATGAGAAAAAAAAAACTTAAAAGCTTGTAAAATTTTATTCTGATTTAGCAACTGCTACTAAATCTTGACGTATCACACACCACCACTACAAAAACCTCTAGTAAAAAGTATCAAACATGTTTTTGACTTGACCTTTTATTTCCATCAGTGTCAGGAAGGATGCAGTAAAAGCTGCATTTCCTCTTGAAAACAGAGCTGCATACATTTGTGCCCTCTTTTGTTAACACTRAAATCAATCCATCCATAAAAGATACACAACCACCAATTATCTTTTCAGACAGCCGTGATATTTAGCCTATTAGAGATTTATCCATGTTCTCAAAGCAATCAAATAATTACTTTGTTGTGCAGGTAAGAAACAACATATTTATAAATGCACACATTAAAACATGTAATACACCTTTTGAACATTTTTCAATGCTGCTACAAAAGTGAAAGCTGTATAAACAGAGTTTGCATGCAGCCAAATGAGAAGCAGCTGAAAACTAAACTCCAGGGGCCTCATGTACAAAGACTTGGTGGATTTCTTACTGAAACSTGRCGTACGGTCAAATCCAGGAAAAAGTGTACGCACAAAAAAATCCAGATGTATCAAACTGTGCGTACGCCTGAATCCACGCACATTKCTTTGGTACATCACAATTAATGTGGAACTGAGCACAGGTAAGACACCTCCCCTGACACGCCTTCATTAACATATGTTAAAMAGATGCWAATTACTTCCTGYATGTGTGAAGGACATGTTTGTCTGATCCCTGCGCGATCAGAAATGATTTATAGTCATAAAAATAATGAATTTAATATAAAGTGAGTGAGAAAAAAATCCTAAGTAAAAACAGGAATAAAATATGTTTATCACGCAAAGAGTGATTGTGTGTCGGTGTGTGTGTGTGTGTGCACGCTGCTATGTTGTGCAACTGGCTTATCCATCCATTCTGAGTCTGAAAATATTAACTTTGAGCACGAGTTTATTACCATAATTAGAGAGGAACAGAGGAACTTAAATGTTTGGTAGAACGTAGATCTTTGTTTATTTCATAGCTGATATTAAGAAACGAGTCTCTGCGTCTCAGTAGAGTTCACATGACGTGACGTGATGTTGGAGAGTCTCCATAAACGCTGCGCGCGCCGCAGCCTTTGTGTGCAGTCTGTCTGTCAAGCTTTTGTTCTTCTACTTACAGCATTTTCACAAGTTGTAAAGTGTACTTCCATCCATCTACAACAACGCAAACGCCAAGTATGAAACATCTCCACTGCCGGCGAGGGTGCGCGTGCTCCAGAGCGCGACTATAACTCAGCCTTTAGAATCATATAGATGAGACGATTCCACTGGTCATGATTCAGCTTTGGGTGGACTGGACTGACACAGTCCCGATCGGTCTGCCAGCTCCCTCTGGAAAGCTCCTGTGGAACCCCAGTTCAATCGCTGCTGCTGCACGTGCACGCGTGGCACACGTGGCTACTCACTGCGTCGCAGTGCCAAACTGAAAAATGATTTTTTTCCTCAAAACGGCTGATGAGCCACTCGTCATCAGAAATTTCTATCTGTTTATAAATAAATGTTCTGTGTGTTACACTATTTATTATATCCTCCAGTAAGGCTGAATCTGTTCCTGTTAAATGTATTTTTGGCAAACTTTGCGCGTCCTTCATTTAACTACGTCCATGTGGATGTAAAAATTGTTAATCATRTGTGTCTGCTGTGAACAATAATCATTTTCACATYATGAACAGTTTCTCAGAATCTCCTCTAAGTGTTGCCAATGGAACCAGAACCACAGAAACATGCGTACGCCAGCCCTGGAGTTGGCGTGGGGCTGCATACATTTCCACGTTCAGTTGAGTTTTGATACATCCAGAGTTTTGCGTGGAAAATGACGTACGCAAGGTTTTTGTGTGTACACACCGTTGATACATGAGGCCCCAGGTGCTCGCCACTATTTCTTGCTTTCATGTGCAGCAGCAGAGAAAAATGAACCCCTACATATATCAATCAGTCTGTATGCTACAAAACGTAATGGGGTATGGAAGAGAAGAAAAAGGCTGGGTAATGGAGCCAGGCTTAGGGAGGGCTATTAAACTTTCAGCAGTGCTTCTCTTTAACCGGCTGTGATACAAACAGACAAGATAAGTAGGAAATGTACTGAATGGATCTAATGATCAGGCAGAAGAGAAAGGTCTGATGAAAAACAAAACAAAAAAAAACATGAGAAAAATGGAAACAAAACTCACTAGTTTCAACAGTGTAAAAGTTCAAGTCCACAGTGAGAGTTTGTGTGTTTCTACATACGCAGGTCTGTCCTCGAGTATGAGTGCGGTGGTGGAGAGAGGCTCAAAGTCCAGGTTTTTTCTCACACTCCGCCTGGGGGATGTCGGGTTACCAGGTCCAGGTCTGCCACTCTTTGTTTCATATTCCTGAGGACAAACAAGACAATTTAGATACACAAAGAAAAACAAACGGCACAACTTCAGACACTTCAGCCTCATGTTGGTTTTGTTCCATGACAGGCATCATGAGTCCTGACTCGGCCCACCCCGGCTCCTGCCAGGCCGGCCTTATTTGATTCAGGTTTGCATTGAGCAGAGCCTTGATGTGGCCAGGATCATGACTTTACAACACATGCAAATCTTATTTTGTTTTATTTCTTTACTTTCATAACAACAATGGACTACACCAAACTCTAAACAAAAGTACAGAAGACCGTATGCAGTATGATACTAAAGAGGAGAGGGCAAGAYGACAGAGGACGGTAAGCTAATGGTAGCTAATGTTAGCTACCATTAGCTGGGACACACCACAGAAAAAGGGTGAAAGAGGGGCTTGTGGAGTTACAATAACGAGGAATTCAGACCAAAATATTGCAGTTCCACTTTATATAGACCCCAACTGAAGCTGTGGGTATTGAGGCCAGTGGCAGTCCAAAAGAGTGCTAAAATACTTACTTTTAAAATTAACCTTGTGTTTGCAATTTACTGAAATCTTTCATTGATATTGCAAATATTGGTATTGCTACTTTGCTAAAATTTTAAAGTGTCTGTGATGTTCGTAATATATATGAATGCATTTTTAGAAAGAGGACATTGATAAAATATTGCAAAAGAAATTTCATGTCTCTGAGATGAACAGTTGTTTAGATATTTGCCTGTGAAGTAACAGGAAGTGATGTCAAAGGGGAATGTCTGAATGTGAACAGAGCGTTGCTACAATAACCCAGACTGTAGAGAAGAATCTGATGTTTCTTAAGATTATTTTGAGTCACTATCAGAGAGAGATGAAGAAGAGTCAGAGTTCAAATAATATTGTTTCAAGACCAGAGAGTTTTCTTTGTTAAAGAGTTCCCCTCTGATATCACTTCCTGTTTCACTTTGGCTGAGCCAAGTTCAAAAGAAAATATGCCAATTATGGGACAAAATGGGTTAAATTGTGTGTATTATTCCAACTTTCTTAAATAAGTTTTCCTTGACTTTTGTATTTGACGAACATGCAGGTCACAGGCATTTTATTGTATTGGGGCTCTGTAGCTTGAAAAACAGAAGGCACAGGCTCACAGACTCAATAACTTATGACCAGATACATTTCATTTGCTAAAGGGAAAGAAGAAATAGGTAAAAAACATAAAAAGACAAAAACCCAGAAAAACGTTTTTGTGTTGAGTTCTAACAGCCATATTGGGAYGCAGCCATACAACCTTGTGACACAGCTCTATAGGACAGAATGTATTAGCTGCTGGTGTCTAATGAGTGTGAAGTTTAGGCTCTAGCACTTACGGTGATGCTGGTCCCAGAGAGGGAGATCATGTGACAGTCGGTCTGTTCCAGCTGAGATCATCCAGAAGTTCAACTCAGACTCAATCAGCTGACTTATAGCTCGGATGCATCACAGAGCACACAAAGTTCACAAAGAGTCGTCTTGACAATCTCACGCTGACTCACTAATTAATTAGAAACCAACTAAAAATAGTGCAACACAAAAGCAAACCAAGCCTTCAGCCAAGGTGCGTATAAAGTCGGTCGAGGCAGGTGATGTGGGTGGATAAGGTGAGAATACAATAATGTGCACAGCCAAGAATACAGWCTTAAAACTTGTACACACAAAAAATAGGCTGTGATTAAAGAAAATCCAGCTGCTCAGAGCTCTGTTGATTGGTTCATTGGTATAAACTCAGAATTAAGCAAGACTGCAGAAAGTAACCATTCCGTCACAATTTATAGTTGACAAGTAGTCTCCAACTGCCACAACCAGGTGAAATACTACTTTTAGCCCGTCAAACATGACTGAAAACACTCGCGCCAAGAACATTTCTGCATTGTAAGTCCTGGTTACCCCAGCTCTGGTTGTGTTTGCTTTGAGCAGTGTGCCACCTCATATCAAAAACAAGAAAAGCTGTACCGGACCATCCAGCAGTATGACGCTGACAGTGAGAGGGTAAGACAACAGAGGACAGTAAGATAATGGTAGCTTGCTACAGTTTACAGTTTTTTTCTTGTGAAAAATAGTTACAGTCGATGTAAAAGATTCAAGCAGTTACTCTCATCTCAACTAATCAATGGGCAACAGTAGCTGATGTCAACCTGTGCAGAGCAGCCCACTCGAATACAACCACAGGTCTCTGGGCTCCTGAAATCAGGGTGGACTTGGGCCAGAAGGGTTAATGCAAATACACAGAACCCGGGTTTGAACCCAGGCCGAGCCAGGTCRGACCTTACATTACAAAAAGGCCTGCAATTGTTTTACAAATGAAAGCAGCTCTTGTTCCTTCATGGGTCATGTAGCAGGATCCAGGTATATTTTTATTACTAAATACAGGGGTTAGACAGTGAAACTGAAACACCTGGTTTTAGACCATAACATCCCTTTCAGACAGCTTCCTCTTGTGTCCACAGTTAATCCTGTTGGATGTGGTTGGTCCTTCTTGGTGGTATGCTGACATTACCCTGCATACTGTGGCTCTTGATACATCACAAAGACTTGATGACTTGATCACAGATGCTCCAGCAAGACGTGCACCAACAATTGGTCCTCTTTTGAACTCTGTAATGTCACACGTTGTAATATTTTGAGCAAAACTGTGCTCTTACCCTGCTAATTGAACCTTCACACTCTGCTCTTACTGGTGCAATGTGTAGTTAATGAAGACTGGCCACCAGGCTGGTCCAATTTAGCCATGAAACCTCCCACACTAAAATGACAGGTGTTTCAGTTTAATTGTCCAACCACTGTAGATGGTCAACATAAACCAGAAAACCCGGTTGTAAATGACAACCACTGTACTGAGTTACACATTTATAGAGACTACACTCGAAAGCAGAAGTGTGTTTAACAGGTCTGGGTTTATGCTCTAACTTATCACAGGAACAGCAATTGTATCCCATGATAACCTGAAACCAGGGCAACATGCTTTGTCTGCTGAGTTCTCGGATTTCATGGAAGGGATGTAGGAGCTCTCTGAGTGCCTGGCTGCACACACCTGTTGCAAATGGCCTTTAAAAGTTGAAAACTACCCAKGTTGGAGCCCAGCTCTGCAAACAGCAGCAGCGATGCAACAGGTAGACTCAGAAAGTCTGCATTAAAACATTACTACCATAGAAGTTTATAAGCTGTCCTTTCTCMTGTGTTGACATTGTCTAGCATTAAATCATCATGGAAACAGAGTCRGCATGCTAAATAATGTAAAGTGAGGATAAAGGCCACAGCAGGGTGAGTCGCCTGGTTTCATAAATAACTGGAAGCTGCCTGAGGGGAAGCTTCAGCAGCAGAGTTTACAAAACGTTGCTTTTAAGTGATACTGGACCAATTCTGTTTCATTTAACTTTATCTACACAACAGCAGTGATCCACTTCTGACACTGAAACATTTTGAATTCAGAGCTCAGAGCACGATGATCGCAGTCAGTCAATATTTATTCTGCAGATGTGATCAGAGACAGAGTTCCGCTTCTGCTGCTCATTCTTCGTTTTATCAGAGCTTTGCACAAACCTGCGTGTCTTCAGCATTCAGGAAGATATGGTCCTGCTCAACACTGAAGGGTCTGTGTACATGCACGATGATGTACAGAAATCACAGCACCTGCTAATGACTTGGCATAAATCTACAGTCAATTTAACATTTTTCAATGAGGTATATTGATAAGAGGCGCCATCCTGTAACTTTTCTTGGTCAGAGAGAGACCATCAGACTGAGAGGACAACTCAGACGGTGTTAGGTGTTAAAGCTGAATATGATAATCATGATGTGTTAAATTTAGGTCAGCACATKAGTTACTGTTTACTGACAACTATTTTGATTCAATAGAAATTCTTGTCATTGTGTATCATCAGAAAACGTTGCTAGGTGCACACATCTGCAATGAATGATTTTTCTAACAGACAGAAGCTAACCAATGAAAAACAAAAAAGTACATTCAATCCTACACAGAAATCTAGCCATGATAAATTTACATCGACAGCCCGCCTCTTCCAATATGGCGTTGCGCTCGTACCACAGCAGTCAATCTGGCATGCATTACGCCTCTAGTCAATAAATCTCATTGGTGGAGATGGATGAAGAGGCTGTATGGGTTTCAACCACCATTTTCTCTAACTGTTTATCCACGTTTTTTTCTGCATTAAGAGTTTTGTCCAAAATAATTAAAGCCATGGCTGGTTTAGAGTTTCTAACTGAACTAACAATAATTGTGGGGACATTTCTACTCCTCCTCTTTGTGCACTCTGGCTCTGCAGCACAATGCAGTTCATCAAGGAATAAGTTCTAGCTTTAAAAATAAATAAATAAAACATGTTAGAAGTTAACCAGGTGTCATTTCTCAGTGTAATACACTTGTCTGTAGCATTTTAATTTCAGCCAAGAGCTGGCTGCTCAGAACTGGTTTATTTCTTGACAAAATGTTTGAGTAACTCCTAGTTTCAAAACTAAAATAATCAGTGACTGTTTTCATTTTGATCTCCTTGGTGGAGATAATAAACTATATGTCAATAGTTAGCGATGGAAAACATTTAACCCATCACCTGCCACTCTTCTACAAACTTCAAGTTAGAGGTGGGTGGCTGGAGATGTGTGAGCTTTGGTATTTTTGCTTTTTAATTTATTAAACAGTATGATCTTTGTGGCTGGGCCAGCAGTGTCGTTGGGAGAGCACCTCCTTGGCTAATGATGGGATAACCATATCTCCTTGAATCAATTTGAAGGAACAAGGTCATCACAACAAAGATATTCAGAAAGAACATGAAGGTCTTCTGATAAGAGTCAAACAACATCATTAAAATAGGTCTTGAGTTCCAGTGGAAGCTGGTACTCTCTCACAAGCCTCTTTCACAAGGCAGTTCCGCAAAATTCAGAAAAAGAAACCACTCCAAGTAAAGCACAGGACAGTTCTGAACCTGATCAAATTATCCTTAGATGAATTAGAGGAATGCAG